AATATGAATCACAGCTTGAATCTAAAACCTAAAATGAGCTGTTTTATTATGACTGCCCACTCTACAGAACCAAATTGACAGCTCCTGTTCAATATCATGAGACGGTTTTGTGTTCCTTGTTTAAACATGTGCCACAGTCTGTTCTCCCTTTTGCTTGTGACTTCTTCATGTTTTATATGAATAAAAATAAAAATAAATACATTATATATAATAATATACAACACAATCTTGTAATAGTTTGGGAATACACTTGTCCTGTGAGGTCCCTGCCTCCACGTGATCATATAATTAATGAGTGGACAAGTAAATTTATATATTATATACTATAACATATATAATTACAACAATATGTGGATTTCTTATGTACATTTTAGACCTGGGGCAGAATTGCTTATGAACTGGTTTTTATTTATGAAAAGGACGAATGTCATCTGTTCCTCACTGTCTGTCATTAGGTGGCACAGTAGTTCGTTATCTCTTACACAAAATCACCATCAAAACTCAGATGCCACCAATGATTCAATTCCTTATAAACCACTGAATCAGGTACTGAAGCAGTGACATGCCGATGAAGCTTTGGACGATTACAGGACTCTGTTTAGCCTCGACACGTCTGCAGCACTGTGTTGATTTTTTTAAACATGCGCCAGATCAAACGGGTCATCACTACTAGTTTCTCCTTTCCTGAGTTTTTAAAAAAAAATTATTTTTTTTTTACTTTTTTAAGTCATACCATTAAAGCGGCCTTTTTCAATTAACTTCTTTGTCTCAGAGTCCTGCATTTGGGTGCTACTCTGCCTGCTACACAGCTGTATGTTAGACAAAGAATATGAGTTTATAAAATATGATGCATTATTGCAGATCAAACTGAATATCAAAAATAAAATAAAACTAAGCTCAACTTGAACATCTGCAGGCGTAATACTGATCCACATGACACTCATGGGCTTTTCTGACAAGACTTTTCTGCAGAATTGTGTTTGCTTTTATTTACAATTTACCAGTAATATAGTTTTATGTGTAGTAAGGGATTGTCAGAGCATTTTATTATTAAATAAATTCAATTAAATGAGATTCAGCATGAAGAGAAAATGTATAGGTCTAAACCTGAGGAAGGCTCGTCAGGTTTCCAGTCCTGTGTCAGTATTGCTTCTGCATAATGGTAACAATAAGCAAAATAAACACAATTATTATAATTAGTGATCTGGTTCACTGAGAAATACGCAACATAATATTAAGCCTTCATAGTATTTGTCTCAAAGGATGTAGACTAAAGAGTACATATATTTGTTTAATCCAACACGAAATTACAATTAAAAGTGCTGCTTTCTAACTTGGACACTGATATTTGAAACAAAAACAAAAAGAACATATTAAGACTGCTGTTAAAAGAAAAGAGTGCAATGATCTGTTCATTAGTTCATCTGGACGCTACATCCAGATGAACAGAATCAACTTTTGGAGATCTGTTCATAAACCCATATTTTATTTACAAAAGAACATAGAAAACATATTAACTATTTGAACTGAGAAAATATTTTATTTATATAAATAATACATTTATTAAATAAATATATGATTATATGATGTATTATGTAAATGCATTATTTATCTCAATCAGATTTGCTTTGACTAATTAACAGTAATATTAATTAATGGCTGGGCAGCCCTAATGACTATCACTTTGAGTGTCTCAGCTCCCTGTTGCACATCTTAACATCCTTCTGTTCAGTACATTGGCCCCCTTGAACCCAAAAGAGCGTAATAAGAACTACTTGAAATGACAGAAAAAATTATCAGAGGTGAACTTGAGTGTTTTATTTTGGTCTGGTCTACATTCGGGATTTACTTGAGGAAGATGATGAGCTGCACAAAGAAAGATCAGACCACAACAGGCAACAGTTCATGCTTTCATGGTGGTTTATTATATAGATATGTCTCCATCATTCCATGGGTTAATACACTAGTACTTATATAGAGCTTTTCTACTCTAATTAAACACTCAAAGCGCTTTCTTGCTGCAAGCTGCAAAAGCACTTTCCTAAAAGCATTTTTTTTCTAGGCTGAAGAATTTTTTACCTTTAACATTCAAATGGGTTCATCAAACTCATTGTATTACAACAGTAAACAAAAAGCAATTAAGATATTAAAAGTTTTTATATGAAAAAAATATTTGAATTAACATAGATTAAAAGAAAATTGATTAAACAGATCTAGAAAAGCTTTAAACTGAGAGCTCTGTGTGTAAATATAAACAAAACAGAAAAATAGGAAAGGTATTAAAATGTTACTTTTGCAATTATATCATATAACATTTACATTTACACAAATGTAACATTGCATATATTTATCTTTTTTTATGCCAGATTTACTTTGAAGGGTTAAAGTTAGAAAATAAATTATTGCATTTTCGTTCAGTGTAAACCAAAACAGATTAAGAAGTGACATTAAAATAAACATGAAGCTGAAAGTAGCGTGTGTCAAGCACACTATGATTGCAAAGCAAGTTAAAGCTGAACTGTGGTGAAGTCATTCTCTGAATCTAGAGGATTTGCGTTGTTGACTTGGCTAAAGACTACCACCAAGCAAATCTTGATGTTTCTGGCCTTGCTCTATTTTAGCCATTGTCTCTGCTTTTTCCTTCATGGACATCAGAGACTGAACTCGTTGCTTCCAGCCTGGTTTGCCCTCAGATTTCTCTCCTTCAATAAGCATGTCGATGTACTCTGGAGTGGACAGAGGGTTGGGCTTCAGTGCTATCTCTTTAAGTCTGTTCAGACACTTGGAAGATCTCTCCATCAGTATCACCACCTCAGCCTGCAAACAGTCGTACTCAGCATTCAGTTTATCAATCACTTTCTGAACAGTCATCTTCTCTCCTGTGGCTTCCCGATACTTTTCTTCCAGCTCCTTTATTGTTCTTTTTTCTTTAACATCTTTATAGCCCCATTTGTACTTCTGATTAAAGTGTACATTCCAAATACATTTCCCTGGGCACTGAGTACAATATCCATTTGATCCCATTGCTGCACAGTGCCTTTTATCTGCATCATTTGCATAGATACAAGGGTAATGACAGGTGGCATGACACTGCTGACAGTTGGTGATGTAGTTTCCAGAGCCAGAAATGTCATCATGATAAGGCTTTTTGACAGTAACTTCAAATTCAAAGTTCTCATTTCTGCTGATCTCTGCTTCATATTCTTTAAGTTTTTCACTCGTCTCTTTTATCTCCTCAAGCTTGGCTAACCCAAGTTTCACCTGCAACTGCAGATTCTCAACTGAAATCTCGAGCTCCTTTCTTTCTCTGAGGACTTCCTTTGTCAGTGTCAAGCTTTTGGTTTCTATTTTATTCAGAGCAGCAAAAAACCTCTTCATGCTTTTTGTCCCCATCTCCCAAAACATCTGATCAAAGCCACCTTCATCATCATCATCATCATCACTCATGCTTTCTGCTACAGCTGATTTGTTGTTTGCAAACAGCGCTGAGTTATTGAACTTGAAGTGAACCGGCAGCCCGTCTTTTGTTTTAGGACATGGGACTCCTGCAGCATTGATCGCCTCCAGAACTGGAGGTCGCTTACCGTCTGCAAATGTCACCAGAACCCTGATGTTTTCTGCCACATCTTTGCCAAAGATTGAGAGCACTGAATCAAACACATATCTTTGTGTTGGTGTGAGTCGTGCTAAAGCAGCCTGAGCTACAAAACACACAGCATCGATTTCACTGACACCATGTGGGAAAGTGAAGAGATTACGTAGCTGCTCTGTGATCTCTCTGTCTTTTTCTATGCCTCTTGTATCTCCAAAGCCTGGAGTGTCCATAATGGTCAGAGAGAACGGGATTTGAAATCCCTCCTGGTGGTTGATTTTGTACACAGTGACTTCAGAGGTCTGACTGTGAGCTTGTGATGTTGACTGAGTTTCATTCACTAACTTAAAGCGATATGGATCCTCCCATTTAACACCTAAAATGTAATTGATCATCCCGTTGATGAGAGTTGACTTCCCAGCACCGGTTGCTCCGAGAACCATTATGGTGCGATTAGGTTTATTGGACTCTTTCCCAAAAGTGAAACTCTTGCATCCATCTACATTGAAATCTTTTTTTTTTTCCAGTGGAATTATATAAACAGGGAGAGGCCCTGTCTGTGGTTTTGATTGTTTGCATTTTTTTTTAATAGCATCTGAAAGCTTTTTGGGCCCATTGAACACATTAAAGATATCCATTATTGTTGTACGTCAGTTATTAAATTTACTACAAAGATCTAAATTTTTCTTCTTTCAGGAACAAATATAGTGGCTTCTGCGCAGTCAGGGTCTTGTGTTGTTAAGATGTTCTTTCAGCCCCTGATCTGCAGATGAAATGTGTATTCAAAAATTAAAATACACAGACTTAAACTCTATTTTTAGCTAGAAAAGCATCATCTAGTTTGTACGTTAAACAGACATATAAAAAAAAGACATAATTAAACAGACATAAAAACAGAAAACCAGCTGAGTTTAGCTGCACTGTAGCACAAAAAGCAATATGAAAACAAGTAATTAACAACCAGTTCATGTTTCAGAAACAACCAATGAGCTGAAACAAGAAAACGTAAACCAAGCCGGTGGCCACTGATATTTTTCTTCACATTTACAAGTCTTATTTTTATACTTTAACCATTACAAACATCATGCAATATAGTAAAAATCCATTTTTATATTAAAAAATCTTTCACTTTTGAAAATTAGGCTCCTTACCTGTTCTCAGTCACGTGCTCTTAGACGTTGAGATATATTGGTTCGGATTCAAACTGGTCTTTTAAAAAACTCCTCCTAAAATACAAAACGCAAAGTTAATAATAATAGTGTCTTAAATTTACAGCTGTAATTTTCACATCAGAGTTTATACATAACAAAAACTACAATTTCATGACATGTAACATTTCATTATTTTATTTTATTTTATTTATTTTTTTGAAGGCTTTAAGGATAGAAATTAATTAAAACCCACCTCTTACGCTGTTAGGCTCCTTGCCATTAGCCACAGAGTTGATATGATTTGTTGGCTTACATTCAGATGAGTCTTTTAAAAACTCCTAAAATCTAAAAAGAAAAAGGCCAACAAAAAACCACATGAAACATATGTTTATGATGAAACAACTCGTCTAAACTGCTTTAATGTGGCTCAACTAACTTTGTAAGAATAATTAACACATTACACAAAAATCCCTTTAAAATTAAGCTGTCAATAGACACCTGGTAGGATGGGGTAAGAAGAATCAAATTTGGTCAGTCAAAATATCTTGTTTGAATTTATTTCATAGCCATGTGTGTGATGCAGCCAGCAGTAAGTCAACATACTTTTCAATCGGAGAAGCAAATCAAAACTGCAAACAATCATAATAGTATTCTTATCTTGCAAAACTAAAAGTTGCTATTCTTTTCCAACTTCATGCTTGGAGTTTTAATTTATTTAACTCTAAAAGTGTGATGGGTTAAACACAGAATGTATACACTCTAATATTTTTTTTCATCTGTGTTTGTGTAGATTTAACATTTAGTCCTGCAACATAGAAACACTAATAAATGTCAACATCTTTTTGATTTTAGGAATATTACAAATGAGTTTAACCAGAAATTAGGAAAGCTTAGTTTCACTGAAAACAACAGATGAATACAATGAAAAAACAGATCAATATTGAACTACTTACGGCAACTTCTCTGATCAGAAAGACAGCGCAAGTTCTGCTCTGCTGTACTCTGTGGTTCCTTTTATCTGTCACGTCCCCACTCCCCAACTTTATCTGCTCTGATGTTACTTTTTTTCCCTCCTTACACCCGTCATCTTCAAAATGAAAGCAGAAAAAAAATGTAATATGTAAGCTTGAAAGTGAAAGAATTTTCTACAGTCACATTTAGTGCTATCATTAACCCTGTAAGACCCAACCCATCAAAAAATAGCCAGAAAACTCTGACATGTTTATTAACCCTTATAACAAAATCCACAACAATTATTTTGATATATCATGCTGTGTATGACATATTTTTATTATATATTTATTATACATTTTTGTATCGCATTGGATACTTTGGGCATTTTTGGCAAGTGTTTGTTAAAAACAATGTTATTTTTAGACCAAAAAAAGTTCAGAAACTCATGTATCAAATATGATATAAAGGGCATTAAAGGATTAACCTCAAAGCAAAACAATATGAAAAACGTTATTGTACTTTCTTCTTCCTCTGATAATAGTATCTGAAGATATAAGCCTCTTACATAAGGGGATCTTACCTCTAACCTCAATGAATTGAACTGTGACAGGAATCTGAGTGATTCCCAGAAATAGTGAACCTGAAAATGAAAGAAAAAGTCCTGTTTTTCACAGTCACATTTATGGATATCATTAACCTCAAACTCAAAGTTTTCCACAATGTTATCAGTTGTTGGCAAGATGGTTATCAGAGCAGACACTCGATCTGCTGTGGAAGACATTTGATACACATGTCGCAAGCACATTGAATTAAAAGAGACTGATCAATAATAACATTCAAAAGTCTCATACGTCATATTTTAATTTTTTTCCCCCAGATTTTTAAAATGTGGCTCATTTTGCTAGGTAAGCAGTTTTTATTCTCAAGTTCCATATGGACTTCTTCTTAGGCACCCCTCTGCTGTAGCATTTGTGTTGTACCTCATCAGTCTCAGTGTCAGTTGCATCTTCCAGATGTTGAAACACTGAGCTACTAGTTGTTTCACTAATGTTGGGTGTCAAAGACTCCATAGGTCTGACATCCTCTTTTACTGGGATCACTTCCTTACTTCAGATTCCAACAGCTCTCTGTTCTCATCCCTTGCTCACTTGTGTCTTCTTGTTCCAGAAGCCCACTTCTCAACAGTGTGTCCTAGAGACCTGATGTGGACCTTGTTAATCTGGGTGACATTTGAACTGGTAGACGAGTAGTGTTACCACTACACTATCTTTCTATAGATAGATAGATAGATAAATACCCTCCCATTCAATTCAATTCAATTGAATTTTATTTATATAGCGCCAAATCACAACAAAAGTCACCTCAAGGCGCTTCATAGATACAGAGAAAAACCCAACAATCATATGACCCCCTATGAGCAAGCACTTTGGCGACAGTGGGAAGGAAAAACTCCCTT